CAGCTTATCTTTGTTAGTTTTGTATTTACCACACTAGGAATACATCTTAAATTATAGTTTAGTGAACTTGTGGAAGTAGGAGTATTCACTACTTTCTTCCTTTATTACCGTGACCTCTTTTTTAAATTATGCTGTTTATCTAACTGCAAAGTAAATAGTGAGGAATAATGCATTAATAAGGTTAACATAATCAAGGAGAACGATGGAAAAATAAATCAGATCTGTAATGGTAGTTAGTGACCTTCTGCTAATAACAGACTGGGAACATAAATGAAATGCACAAAACAAAACCAGTAAGCATGTAATGGTGTGTCTTTATACAACTTTTCAGCCATAGATTGAGTATCATGAATTGCTGAGACATTTCCAGAAATACATAAAGCCATAAATAGCTCCGGTTTTGATGCTTGTAGTTGTCTGTTTGTGTCTCACTTTTCCTGCTGTACGAAAGTAAATGTCTTTGAAATGTGTTTCTATAAAAGTAGAAAAGTACTTTGACTTTGTAAATAAAGAGTTAATCTTGAATTTCACCACCCCAGTTTCTCAACAAGTAAAATGGCTCTCAAAATAAGCTAGCTCACCCACAGGTGAGGTGTTCTTGACTGATGGCAAAGTGTCTAGTGATTTCCAGATTAAAACAGAGATATTTTTGCTATCCAAGAGCAAAGTTATATTGGTAGTATTCATAGCCCTCCCCACTGCCTGGTAATTTGATCCTCTCCCATGCAACTGCTTCTGAAACAATCTGTACAGGGGGAAAAATTTATATACCTAACAGAAAATAAATGTGGGGGGGGGGGGGGGGAAGAGGTAAGAAAGCCCGAATAGTTTCCCATTCTGTTTGGTGCCCTGTTCCAAAACAGCTGAGCGTCACCCCTGTTAACCCATAAGCCCCAGTACTTTGCCCAGGCAAAGCAGAGTGGCTCCAGATGAAGCTGACAGGGTGTTACTGAGCATATGCAATATGGGACAGATGGCCATAAGCCAAGTAGCCAACACTGAGAGAGTGGCAATGCAAGAGAAATCCAGCACAAAATGTCCAAACCAAGCAAATGTGCAGAACAAAAGGGCAAAAATTTCTGACGATATCATACCTTATTCACAACTACCAAATATTATGAATAATTTATGTTCAGGGTTGGGTGTTTCTGCATCATGTTTTGCTCCATGTTGTACTTCTATTGCATATTCCCCTTTCATTTCTCACTCCTGCGACATACCTCACGCACCTTGTTTTTTGCTTTTCCTTTTTTCCCCAGTGCACCGTGACCTGTGGGCAAGGACTCAGATACCGTGTGGTCCTCTGCATTGATCACAGGGGGATGCATACAGGAGGCTGTAGTCCTAAAACAAAGCCACACATAAAAGAAGAATGTATCGTACCCACTCCCTGCTACAAACCCAAAGGTAATGAGACAGAAGGATTCTCATAAATTTTTCCAAGCTCTTCCATGTTTAGTAATTTTGTTCTGTTGCTGGTTGCACTGTTTCCACCTGCATAAATTTGTGAATTTGCATCTTTAAGACCTGCCGTTTCTATTCCACCCTGTCTGCTTGCAGCTTGGAGTGAGTGCTGACCTCTTCCGCTTTCTTACAAGCTGTGGGTTTTTCGCTGTTAATTTGTGATCCAGCAGACCATGCAATATAAATTTGACCATAGTGTAAGCATGTTTGACCTCACTGATTGTTTCTGGGCTAAATTTGCACCGTATCTTAAAAGGAATTAAAGAACATGTATGGTAGATAAATGTAACCATAATTTTAAAGTGCCTGTTCATAACTTTGAGCTTGAAATAGATCAGAAGAAAGCATTGCATTTCTCAACATGAAGTTCCTCTTACTAGAAGGGCTGCAAAATTTGGCAGGCTGTTAGACTTGAAGCATCTTACAGCTAGGAGTACTCACAATTTGTATAGAAATGTTTTTTAACTTGGGCCTCAGACAGAGGGTAATATTGGAGTAAATCCCCCACATTTTTGTTGAGAAAATATTTCTGCAGCTGTTTGGAGGTTCTTAGGGGGAATGTTAGATAAAGTCCTGGAGACTGGTTTGGATTAATGGGAAGTGGCCAGGTGAAGCAGACACGGGTATTTGACCGTTTCCACAGGTATGTGAGGTATATTGAAACAACCTCTGTGAAGTAAAAGGGACCCATGACCTCGCGCTAATCCAAGATGGAACAGTGAAATTTGAAATTTTAGTTTCTGCACTTAGTGACCAATGATGGGTGCACTTGCCAAGTTTCAAGATTCCATTTTATCTGGACCAGGAGAATTCACTGTGTCTGCCAGCCACCAAAGTGGTGAAACCCAGACACAAGGCCTCTCTGGAGCAATGGATATGTTTGCACTGTATTTTGCTGGTTGGCATAAGCTCATTCTGTCTACCTTCCAAGATGAAAAATACCCCAGGGCCCTGTGACTGTGCTAGCGTGACTCTGAGCCTCATATGGAGATTCAGTGGGCTTGGGCCCAGTCAGTTGCTTTTATGGGGCTTTATGTTTGTGGTGTTCAGAGGACTGGTAAAGCAAAATCCTTTCTGCCTGTAGCATACAGTGTAAACAAAATGCAGTAAGGTGCCAAAAAATCAGATGTTGCAAACCATCCACAACTGACTTCTGCCTCAGGAATTTGAGAAGGTTGCAAGACCAGTAGGAAAGCTTTGCTTGCCTGCATCTATCAAGTAGTCTCTTCAGGTGGAACTTGTCTGGGAACAAAGTAAATTGCTGTTTAATGGAAGCCCATCCTGTCAACAAAGTGGCATCTTTACCCTGGATAAACTCTTATACTGCCCTTTGCAGTAAATATGTGATTGATTCTGATTGTAGGCAGTTATTTCTTTTTTCTATATTTTCCCATGGAGTGGGAAGTCCTGCGTGAAGTGTACTGTTTTGCTTGGGTTTAATTTTACTCCTCATCTTAGTTCTGCAACACTCTCACCATTCTGTCTCCATAATGCAAGTCATAATGTTTGAAGACCCATGTTCCTGAAGGCTGAATCGTGCTGTCAGAAGACAGTTGGATCAGGTGATATCCAGAGGTCTCTTCCAATCCGAAGTATTCTATTCTGTGCTAGACATTTGTCCTTTTAATTTCACAAATCTGGTGTTAGAAATTTAGAGCAGTAAGGTTAGCAAAGTACCTACTGTTTTATTCGGCTTTTTCCTTCTGGAGCTGGACTAACATAAAGCAGAAAAACAATCTTCCTAGCTGGGTGAAGCAGCAAGACAAACTATGTGGCCTCCCTCTCCCTTTTAACAGACTGTGCTAACATAAGTAGAATGCAAATAGTTGATGTATTTAATTTTAATTTGAAATATGAATTTAATTTGAAATATTTTTCAATACTTCATTTTGGTTTATTCAAGCACTGAGGCACGTTATCTTGCACAAATAATGGGAAAAAATAGGATATCCCTGGATTAAGTAATGATTCTCAATTTTAATAGAGAAGGTGTATTCATTTAATACAACTTTCTGTGTAATATAAGATTTAAATGTTTTTACTGGAACTGTTTTATAAAAGGAGAGAAGTTATTTTAATCTCCGAAAGTAAAAGTTCCTTCTGCACTTATGTTAGGAGTACATTTATTCATTTTTTTGTCAAAGCACACTGTATGACATCAAGATTTCTAATCCTCTAACTCATTTTACAGTGTAGATGATAATTAACTACACCTCTAAAAAAAAGTTATTAAAAAAGCCACATGGTAGGCAATGGTACACAAAAGCTTTTGCTTTTTACAACCACTTGCATTCAAGCAATAAAGCACAGAAGTAAGATCTGGCTTTCCAAAACCCATAAAACAAGCTGCAGAACATATAAATAGAAGTATCTCCTACATATTTTGGATAACAAATGCAGTAAAATACAGATTAAACTAAGAGCCGTGCTGGCACATATTCATCCTTAAATGACACTAATAAATACGTTAGAGTAAAAGCTTGGCAAGCTATTTCTAAGAGAGAGACATAGTAACTCTATTACTATCCCTTTTTTCCTCAGTTAATAACTTGCTCGGAGGAAATTTGCTTGACTAAAGTTGCAGTAGCTGTGAAATCAAGTTGTAAGTTGTTATTACTCTATGATACAAGCAATGGATGGGAAATTTTGTGTATGTGAAAGGTTCACCGCTGTGCACCACAGAGTCACATAAAATCCGCAACTATTCTGTTCCCATTGGCGAGTACAAATCTATGCATTATATAAGTCCAAAAGATTTAGGTGATTTGTGAGAGGCAAATAGGTCTGGCCCTGGTTCTCCTCAGTGGTCTGAGTCTCACTGCCTTTTATTCGTGTTTTTTCCCCCTGATCCTATCCCAGAACATTTTGTTGAAATGCAGAGCACCTTCTGAAATTATAGTGCCAAATTCCCTCTTGCTTTATACCCCTGTAGAGCTAAACCAGTTCCAGCGCCTTCAGCACAAATACTCCACTTTGACACCGCACGAAAGCAGGGTTTGGCTCGTGAAGTGGCATGGCCCTACGCTCCCCAGAGCGAAGCAGCTCATTACACTGTGTGCACATCCTGGAGGTGAAGAAAAGCAGCTCTACTGTTTTCCATCAGAAATGACAGAAAAAGCATCAAGCTCGGGTTTTTTAAATCCACATAGCTGATGAACTGATAAAGTTGAAAAGTATAGCTGGGCCATTTTATTAAGGTTTCTTTGTTTTTCTGTGGTATCGGTCGCCAAATCAGGGTTCTCTTCCTTTTTGTAATCTATCAAAAAAAAGCTTAATGTGTCTTCTGAAGTTCTAAAATTTAAGGGTAAACACAGGGATTGTATACATTTTTCCTTTACAGTGTCAACGGAGGTCTGTGACACGTGCAAGACTCCCTCCAAAAATTACTTTCCAAAGTGCCTACATTTACAGCCAGTTGCATAGTCTGAAAAGCAACCTTTTGGCTTAAAACACCATTGACCTTCTAGCTGCAACAGTGAACTCTTGGCCTTATAACCTTGTAAGCGTTATAGTCCAGGGGATAAAGGAGTTTCTCTCTCTCTCTCTCTCTCCTGCTCTGCTTTCTCTCACTTTCTTCTTTATGCTCAGCCTTCATGTGGATGAAGGCACACGGGCTTCGCAGGCATGCTTGGCCAGAGGGGAGAGGCTGTCACACATAGCAGAGTTACTGCATGGGTCCTGTTTTCACATGCTTGTGTTTGTTCCATAGAGAAACTTCCTGTGGAAGCAAAGTTACCATGGTATAAGCAGGCTCAAGAGCTGGAGGAAGGAGCAGTGGTGTCTGAAGAACCATCGTAAGTCTTAAAAATCTGCTTGCAACATGTTCTTAACGTTGTTGGGATCTGGGGCTTGCGCTGAACTAACACAGTTTCTTGAAACTCTATTTGTCTTTCATTAGAGTGTAAAGGGTAAACCCAACTGTGTGGACATCGGTGGGCTTAAGGCTGTGTCATACTTATGTATGAAGAGACAGAATTCAAGAGGGCAAATGCAAATTTAATTTGATCAATTACATATATATGTTTTGTTTAAGGTCATTTACAGAAATATTATAGTAGAGTCTGTCTACCTAAATAATTATACGTTCCTCAGTACTACTGTACCTCCACAGCTCAGCAGCTCTATTTATTCTCACAATACCCCTGGGAAGTAAGAAGTAAAATACAGATATGATTCTCCCACACCCCTTCCACCTCCAGGAAGAGTGTAGTAGCAAATAAAAATAATTAATTTTAGCAGAAAATAAACCAGAAGCCTCAGCCCTGTGGTTTGGATTGCCTTACCATGACTTACCTCATCATTTCAGTGATTTTTCCCATCCTGGTTTTCTAGCCACTTCCCAGTCTTTGACTAGCCACCTTTGCAAGATAGATCTCAGTCAGCACCTTTTCCCCCATTAATAGCTTTTCCTCCTGCTGCAGACCTTCTTGGATGGCAGGTTGGCCTATATACATCCACTGACAGTCCCCTTGTTTAGGGCTGCCTGAAAGGATGGAAATTTAAAATTTTCCTCCTAAATACCTAAAATTAACTCTTTATGTCCCATAACTGTAACTTTTTCTTTTTTCTTTTCCTATGTTTTAATTCTGTCTTGTGAAAGAAATTACCATGGAGTTAGAAAGAAATTGAGGGTGTATAATAGTTAGGTAATGCTGAAGGAAAAAATATTACAACAAAAAACTGGAAAAGAACACTTCCACTTAGGGTCAATACCTGCCTTTTAATATGTCAGTAAGAAAATCTGTATGAGTCAGACCTGGTGTAGACAGGTTCTTCACACAGTGCTATTGAAGGTACATTTTAACTGTTTCTGCATGTACTCCATTTCATTAATAGAAGGATGGCAGAAGAAGTTAGAAAAATGAAGTGGTTTAAAAAAAAATCAGAATTTCATTTAAAATAGGGTTTTAATCCTATTTATGGAGAAATAATATTTTTTAGCCCATTAAAATTGCACTGAAAAGGAAGCTACACAGCAGTGAAACTGGTGTACCATATAAACCTTTAGCATGAGGCTGAGAAATTAAGAATACTGTTAAGATTATGTTTTGGGTCTTTTATTCTGGAAGTGTGCTAAATGCACGCTATAATTATAACCTCTGTACGCAGCTTAAATCAGCATCCAGTTCCTTGTGGCTGCGTGCATGGCATTTTTATTGCAACTGCAGCTGTGTATTAGACTAAAAAACATTGCTCGTTATGCAGTATAATTGCAGTTTTGGCACTGAAGTTATTTGCAACTGGAACACTGAAATAGAGCTAGACACATATATAATAAACCTCTCAAAAAAAATTTTGTTCCAGCTGCCATATGTGTACATAAATACATATATACCCACACATACCTGTATTCACACACATTTATAAACACATATACAAACACACATATTAATCTGGGGGTATATATATTAGTAGCAGCTATTGCATGTAATATAATAAAGTGCTTGACTATTTCCAGAGTTTTGTAGACTCCATAGGTTGAAAAAAACAACCAGGTTTTTTTTCAGTGTCAAAGTCTAGAAAATTCAATATTTGTGAACATACTGATTTTTCATATGTAAAGTGTGGTTTATTTTCTTGTGACTTTGTGACTTCTTGTGACTTTCTTGTGACTGTGCTAAGCCACTTGGCTAAATGTGCATTTATCAAACTGTAAATAACTCCTGGAAGCATACAAAAAAAAAAAAGTATGTATTATCAGAAAGTTTATCAGAAGGAATCATACTGATAGGTGGTCATATCTGGAAAAATTTGTTACACTAAGAAATTTTTCAGATTAATTACGTGAACAATGTTGACAGTACTGTAGAAAGACAACATAGTAGTATATATATGAGTATATGTAGCTTTAAATATTAACAAGAAAGGATTTGGAGAGAATAAGATTTGGAGAGAAGAGGCATAACCTGCAGGGAAAGACAATTAGGCTTTTGTTTATCATGTTGTGTATTTTAATAAACTATTCTGGAAAACCTTATTAGTATATACTTGTAATGTTAATAAAGACCTTGAGAGATATAAAGGGAAAGGAGTTTAAGAACTTTAAAATGTTTTAAGCCCAGCTATGACTCCTTCTTACTTTATAATTTCACTGTTCTGCCACAGTAAAGGCTCTATTCTGCAAAGGTATCCTAATCTTTTTACCCCATCTCATACAACACTTCAGTAATACCAGTGGGATACTACTGTACCAATACAGTGGGGCACAGTCCAGACTACGTTCATTCTGCCAGGGTGACATTTTGTACATTATTTTCTCCCTGCAAAGCACAACTCTGGGAGTATGTATAATCTTTTTTATAGGCTGATAAGAAATCAACATGACATTTAATTGAATTCAAGTGCAGATTTTAATGTGTTGAGTAACAGCTAAAATAAAGAGCACAAAGTCAGGGTATGTATACAGACTTTCCTGAAGCTTGGGGATATCCATGCCTTATGTCTGGTTTGGAATTGATTTTTAGTGATAAGGCATAAGACAGAAAGACCAAATAAAAAATAAGAAAAATTGTGCTGAAAGGGCCATCCACGCAATCCCGGTCTGTAAACTGAAACAGCCATCTGCATATTTTTCCAGTATATCTAAACTGTTGACAGTGACCTAGAGCAATGAACTTCCACATAAAATTGGTTTGAGTGCCTCACTAGTAGTAGTGTTTTGCCTTAATGTCTAACTTTAAACAGTTATTCATTTTAGGTCCTGGTTATTAGGTTGAAAAACTCCATGCGGTCACATAAAAAAGGAGTAAAACATTTAGAACTCATGAAGATACAATCAACGATCAGCTTTGATGCCAGTTTTATAGCATTACTTGTCCACATTCAGCTGTGTAGGTATTTCAGATACACAGGCTAGTGGAAAAGCAAGGTGGATAACATGATAATGCACATTTTGGCCTCTGTTTCTGCAGCTGTGCAGAGACAAAATGTAATACTCCATGGCCTACCATGGTGACAGATGTTGGGCTATCATCCACACAGCCATTTTGGCTAATGGATGATCAGCCCAGAGTGTAGGTGAATGTTAATCTGAGCATCAGAACGGTCAGGAGTTTTTAAATGTTGCATCAAGCACTAGCTAGTATGACAGCTCGTGATGTGGGTGACCATTTTCTTGACTGTGAATTGAGTAACTAGAACATGGTCATCAATTTCTTACTTTCTTACACCTACGTGTGTTGTAGTGGTTTACTTTCCTGTAAATAATTTCAGTAAACATGCCAGAGTTTTTAAAAAAGTTTTAATTTCTTGCTTTCCCTTCCCTGAGGAAGCCATTTCTACTGTCTGATTCAGTAGAGCGGAGCTAGCTGAGCAGGGTTTGAGGGTGGGACTTGAGTGGGCAGGTAGGATGGGCTTTCTTTGAGACCCCACTCCTCAGCGGGGAGGGAACAATGGGCAGCTGGAGGGGAAGTGGAGCACTTGTAGAGCACAGGGAACAACAGAAGGCCTCCAGTGTAATTGTAAGCCAGGTGCTGAAGAGGCAATGTCGTGTGTTCATGAGCATTTTGGCTTAAAACTAGTGTGATGGAATTTTCTTCAGACAAACTATGTCTGTGTGATTTTCCTATTTGATCTGTTTTAGTACAATATTTGGTGCAATAATTACCAATTTCATGACTGGCCTTGGACAGATGTCAGCAGGGCTTGTTCTTTACTTACAATTCATCTGAGGCTCTTTCTGAGCTTTCTTATGCCCCCAGGTCTCTGCCCCCATTCTCCTCTGCAGACATGGTCGTTCTCTGTAGCCAGCAGACCCTTCTTCCCCTACCACTGTCACCCTTTCTTCCTTACCATTCTTCAGGCAAAGAAAGCAAACCTCATCTCTAAGCAACTCCATCGTCCTTCTCAAAGTGTATTTTTTGAAGTTGAAAAGCTAAAGCTGAAAATTTTCAGCAGATTTCTTTTACGTGTTGAGTTCTTACATTTGTGAATCTATTGCTGTGTGAGTTTTGTTAGTCTTTATTTAATACAATTTTTGTTATGAAATTGCATACTATGTTATAAAGATACACATATTTATTTTTTACATTGCCCTTCCACCTGTAATTTGTGATCATTCTCTAACGTGTTGCTAGAGCAGCAGATGCCTCATTTTTATTACATCTCCATGTAGTGCCTTCCATTATTTATATCTTCAGGAATTTCTAAAGGAAGCAAGTCTTACAGTTTAATTTTGTCTGTATATGTCTATCTGTCAGTTGCCTTCCTCTTCTCTCAGTAATGTCTGAAGTTATTCCTATTAACTGAATTTGACAGAGGTATAAGTTAGCACAGAGAATTTTAACCCCCTGTCAAATTTGGTTGATATTTGCCAGGAAATTCAGTGGTAGAATTTTCCACGTTTCACTTAACTAAATGACTAGGTAGAAAACTGACACCCTACAATTCCCCAGATGAAGGAAAAGTTTCTAAAGGAGTTTGGTCCTTAAGAGATAGCAGAGAACTTACTTGAGTACTCAGTCTTCAAATATAAGTCCATGTTAAAACAGTCTTCAACAGTTCTGCTGCTCAAGAAATTAATCATAACCTGTTCAGCCTCTTGAAGGCCAGAGGGGATAGTTATGTTTGTGTTGTCTGACCTGCTGCACCCCTAGATGGGGTCAATTAAATATTAATTGATGATAGAGCTACACTGCAATATGCAAGGTTGGTAGGAAAGTATTGTAATCTTTGTTAGAATAAAGGTTTAAGGTGAGAAGTCCTTGCTGTCCTGTGTTGTCATAAGTATTGTTCTATTGCTGTCCATCTCTGGCTATTCATTTGGCCTTAGAAATACGTTATCTGAGGGAGAAGC